TAACTAAAGCAAAAAAGGTTGGAGGCATGTTTCAAATAGTAAAAGCATCTACCTAGCAATCCTGAGGCCAAGTTCAAACCCCAGTACCACCAAAAAAAAAGTGTGTATGGTGTATGATGGTGGCTGAGGGTGTAGCTCAGTGGTAGAGCACATGTTTAACATTTGTGAGAACCTGGTTCAATCCCTAACACCAGAAAAACACACATAATAAAAGCACTTATTATTTTTTAAGAGGCTTTATTTCTTCTAAAAGTTTTAGAAATGAAATGATAAATTCACAGAAGAAACAATAAATGAAAGACTTGTTTTGAGCTGTTGAGTACATGAGGGCTCATATATACTAGGCTGAGTAACTCTGACATCCTGAGTCAGGTAATTCTTAATAAGGGAAGTGAGACCATCTGTGTATTATAAAGTATATTGCAGAGGGACTGGTAGATATAGTACCTATATATAGCAATATAGTACCTATCTAGCAAGCTTGAAGCCCTGACTTCAAATACCATTACCACCAAAAAAAAAAGAAAAAAAAAGTTTAGCAGAATTCCTGGTCAGCAGCACCAACCCCCTAGTTGTGACAACCAAAAATGTCTAGACATTGTAAATGTCCACTGGAGACAAAACTGCCCCCAGATGAGGACCACAGACAAATACTATTCTCTTCTACTTGTTTGAAATTTTCCAAAAAAGATATTTTTTAAGGTTTTACTTTATACTCTTGGTATTGTTACAACTACATCTGCTAGTTGAATAATTAGTAGACAAGCTCTTGAGAAACATCCAGGTACAGCAAAAAACCACAGACTGGGCTGACGATCTGGGGCCTAACACAGGTTCTGCTCTCTGAGCCTAAGCATCTTCACTGGATCAGACTGTTTAACTAGTTCTTTTGAGCTATAAAATGATGTGATTAACAGTGAATTTTTTTTTTTTTTTTTTTGCAGTACTAGGGTTTGAACTCAGGGCTTTGCGCTTGCTAGGCAGGTGCTCTACTGCTTGAGTCATACCTCCAGCCCAATAGTAAAACTTTTATATACCCACCCACTAAAGGTGAATATTGACATTTAGAAATCAAACAAATAAAAATGTAGTAGTAAACAAGGATGAAAATGATATTCTTGGGGTGGGGGCAGGGGGGAGAAATGACCCAAGCATTGTATGCACATATAAATAATAAAAAAATAAAAATTAAAAAAAAAAGAAAATTATATTCTTGTTACTTCTGCTATTTTCGGTATCTTCTAATTAAATGATTTTCTGATTCGGGAACAGCGTGTACATATATACCACAGAAAATCCAGTGTGAAGAGGTACTATCACCAATGTTATTCCTTATTGGTCCAAGATCCACTGTCTTGTCTGGAGCCTAGGGATTTGAGGGAAACTCAGCCATGTCTTTGCTCACCTCCAAGTTGCAGTTAGAGGTCTGAGGAAATAACAAGGTACATATAAATGCAGTGTATGTCTTGGAGGCTGGAGGACATCAAAAGGGGAATCTCAGACCTTATACAACCTAGATGAAGTTAGCATACTGTTGTTTTCATTTTCCTAATAAACTGCTTTTCTTCTTTTTTTTGGGGGGGTGGTACTAAGCTTCACACTTGCAAGGCAGGGCACTTGAGCCATACCTCCAACCCAAAGTTACTTTTTTTGGGGTATTTTAAAAATTTATTAATTTACTTATTTATTCAGTCATTTTTTGTAGCACTGAGGTTTGAACTCAGGGCCTCATGCTTGCTAGGAAGGTGCTTTTATTGCTTGAGCCACTCCACCAGCCTTCAAAGCTACTTTAAAAAATAAAAATACTCCTGTTGCAAATTACCTATTTATCTATTCGTTCATTTTTGCAGTGCAGGAGAGTAAACTTAGGGCTTCTGAGTGCTAGCAAACACTCTACCCCTGAACTCCACTCTCAACCCTATTTATTATTCTTGATTTAATAAGCAGCACTCTTCACACAAGTGAATACAATTATTTAAAATTTAAATAAGTTTTCTAGGACAAGCAAAGTAGAATCTCTTTACAAAATAGAAAAAAAAAGAGCTATTCCTCTAATAGCCATATCAATCAACTGCTGAATTTAAAAAAAAAATGTGAGAAATTCAATGAAATACTATTTAGCAATAAAAAGGAATGAACTACTAATAGACATGAAAATACAAATCTCAAAAGCATTAGGCTAAGAAGTCAGACGAAGCCAGGCATGGTGGTACATGCCTGTCATCCCAGCGCTCAGGAGGCTGAGGAGATCTAGAGTTCTGGGCCAGCATGGGCTACATATTAAGACTCTGTCTCAAAAAACCAAAACCAAAACAAAACAAAAGTCAGATACAAAAGATTATATACTCTATGACTACATACTCTAGAAAACTACAGGGGAAAAAAACCAGATCAGTGGTTGCCCAGGGCTGGGGAGGGAAGAGGGTTAGAAACCAAGGGCTCTTTCCGGATGATAGAAATGTTCTACATCTTGAATTTGGTGGTGGTTATGTGACTACTTATTTATCAAACTCATCAGATTGAACACTTTTTAAAAAAAAACCATGAATGTTCTATCTCAATAAACGTGACTTCAACAAAAGTGTTTCTCACTAAGCACAGGTAGCTCATGCCTGTAATCCTAGCTAGCTACACAGGAGGCAGAGATCAGGGAAATGGCAGTTCAAAGACAACCCAAGCAAAATAGTTCAAGAGACCCTATCCCAAAAATATCCATCACAAAAAAGGCCTGGTGGAATACTTCAAGGTGTAGGCCCTAAGTTCAAACTCTAGTACCACAAAAAAAAAAAAAAAAAAAAAAAAGCTTCTCCACAAACGGAGAGCTACATTTCAGTGAGTGTTCACCTGGCAGAAGTCTAACAGTCCTGCGGTCATGACAGACAAATACTATGGGTTATGCCAAAAGTGAACCTGAGGTGTCACACTGACACAGACGTTCCAGTGGGAAAGATCACTACCTCCAATATCATGTCAACAGCAGAGTTAGAAATAGATTAGGGAAAGGTGAATTAATGCAACAATATGCTACAAACCTCTGATTTTAACACTGTCCAAAGTTCAAATTTAGGACCGTGGAGTGGCTCAAGTGGCAGAGAGCTGCAGGCTCTTAAGCTGAATTCAAACCCCAATCCCACAGGAAAAAAAATTCAAATTTAAATACATTACATGAGAATAAAGAAAAGACACACAGGGCTGGCGGCATGGATCGAGTGGTAGAGCACCTGCCTAGCAAGCATGAGGTCCTGAGTTCAAACCCCAGTACCGCCAAAAAAAAAAATCAAGAAAAGACACACTACATACCCTAGGTTTTCTTTTGTTTTCTGCCCTCTGTGGTACTGAGGATGGAACCCAGGGCCTCACAAACTCTGTACTGAGCCACAACCCCAGCTCCAACCTCTAGGTTATTTTTAAAGAACAAAGGTAGTAATTCTAACAACATTCAAAAATTACAATACAATTCAACTAATTAACCAAAGAACAAATTAAGTCAGTCTATAATAATTACAAATACTACCCAAACCAAGCATTCCTGACTGAACATTGGCTATTTCTTCTCCCCATGTCCCTCAATGAATATACTGAAGACCCAAATGAAATCTTTCATTATCACAAATTTGATTATTTCTCACTCCATTTTAGTGTAGCCAAAGAACAGGTAAACCATTAAATCAGGGATAGTTTTCTTCAAAAGGACCATCAGAAAAAAGGTCATAGTACACCAGGCTTGATAGCATGTGTCTGTAGTCCCAGCTACTGAGGAGACTGAGACAGGACTGCTTAATCCCAGGAGTTCAACACCAGCCTGGACTACATAGCAAGACTCCATCTTGAAAAAGGAAAAGGATCATCTAGTCTAAAATTTTCTATTACTGTATGTAATTTTCTAATCCATCTCAAGTGGAGAAATATACACCACTGCACATTAATAACATTACAGGGATGCTTTGGACTAAGATTAAAGCAGATAGCTATCCAGCAACTAAATGTTATTTTGAAGATTTAAAAAAAAAGGAAGACATCTGATATCACTACAAGGTCTCAGGGCGGTATTAAAAGCATGAAAACACCCAGACCAAGGAAGGTTTTCCTGAGAGATGGCATTTTCTTGCCAGCAATTACCTCATAATCCTTATAATGAAAGGCCAGTGAAGTTTCGTTACAAGTTATTTGCTAGATGTTTTACAAAAGATAACTAACTGAATTGGAACATTTTGAACCTAATGCTGGAAAAGAAGTTAAGACGACACTTAGACATTTCTTCAATGGAATTTCTACTACAAGTTGTCACTCCCTGACAATGCTGTTCCTGGCATTTTTTTTTTAAAGGTCCAACATGAAGGAAATCAAAGATTCCTTTTATAGAATCACTGGCTGTGAGTACTGGAATGGACCTGAGCGCCTCTAGATCAACCTTTCTAGGAGGGGTAAAGCGAAGCGCCCAGCGGGTGTCCTCAGCCGTACAACGAGAGCGAGGCAGAGCTCCCACTACACATGTGCCTTCCAAAACGCTCAGCCAAACTTCTTCAACCAGATTTGCAAAGACGGGAAACTAGCCCTTGATAAAGGCTACGCTCTCTCTGAGAACAACCCTTCCGAAGCAGAGTTCTGGAGCTCCTAACGGGGACGCAAAGATCTCTCGGTGGACGCTTAGTCTTAGCGACTGTCATTAAACTTAGTTCCCGACCATCATAAAGAAAGAGGCAGAAAGGACAGTCTACTAGAACCGGTCCATTCCTATTAATCTGCACGGAGGTCATTATGTTTTCAACCTGCTGGGTGTAGGAGAGTTGGGTTCAGACAAGCACTGCCCGCTGCAGCGATCCGACACACGCTCAGACTAGGCAGCGACCCGTAACGCTCGTCCAGACCGTGAGAACACCGTGCGGGCTGCACGCGGGCGGCGGGACCGGGTTGTTCCGTGACCCCAGCTCGGCGCGTCCGAGCCGCCCACCCCCATCACCATCCCAAAGATCGGCCACCCAGCAGCGCAGGCCACTCACGTTTTCAGTGTCTCGTTCATTCACCGTTGGCAAGGGGGTCCTAGTGGACATCTTACTGCGCTTTGATTCTGCACAACGTGAGCGCGAAAGAAAAAAAAAACCGCCAAACCTGGGCAGCCGGCGAGCAGCGGCCGCGAGTGTCCGGCCCCACCGCGGCGACACGGACAGGGCTGCCCTCCCCGGCCTAGTTCTAGATCCGGGGCCTGGCCCGGGCCGTGCCCCGGCGGGCCCCGGGGCTCATTCTCTCCCTGCCCCGGCGGCCGCGGCCAGGAGCCCGGCGGGGGCGGGGCGGCCGGTCAGCGTCCCCGCGCCTCAGGGCGCCCCGCGGGCCAGAGCCCCGTCGTCTCCTCCGCCGCTCCCGCCCGTCGCGCCGCGGAGCTCAGCCCCGGGGCCTCCACACAGAGCGGCCGGCAGACCCAAAAGAGGAGGAGGCGCAGGGGGATGTGAAAGAGATGGACCGCAAGACAGGCCGCCGCGGGTTGCGGGCGCCGACCATGGAGGGAGCCGTGAAGGAGGCGCCTACAACCCGGCTGCTTTCCCCTCTCCTGCTCGCTTTCCGCCTAAGCCTCCGCCCTGCCGGCCGACGTTATGCCGCTCCCCGGCACCTCGGAGCCTCACGGACCCAAGATGGCCGCCCCTCTGCTTCCTCCGCTGCCTCCGGATACCGGAAGTGACGACATCGCCGTCTCCTGGAGTTCCGCCAATCGGCGCGGCCGGAGAAAGCCTCCCGGCTGCTGTTGCTAGGGGCGACTTGGTCCTGTCGGGCCGGAGGGGGCGGTGCCGAGAGTTGGGAAGGGCTGGTCGGGTCTCCTCCGGCTCTCGGGGGCGGCGGGTTCCCACAGTGCCGAGATCGCTGACATCCCCAACAGAGCCAGGGAACGGCCCTGGGCGGAGGCCTGCGCTTCTCTGCTGGGTTGGCATATGCAGATTCCAGGTTTGGATTGGCTGGATTACAAATGAAGCTCCTACTGTGTGCAAAACTTGAGGTCCCAGGTCAGGCGCCAGTGGCTCACGCCTGCAATCCTAGCACCTTGGAAGGCTGAGATCGGAAGGATCGCGTTTCGTAACCAGCCTGGGTAAATAGTTTGTGGAAAAAAAAAAATCTTCAAAATAATCAGAGCAAACTGTACTGGAGGTGTGGCTCAAACGATAGAGAGCCAGCTTTGCAAGCGCGAAGCCCTGAGTTCAGCCCCAGTCCCACCAAAAAAAAAAATAAAAAAAGTTAAGGTCCCATTCCCTAGGCTGCGCTGCACAGATCCATGGCAGCAATTTTAATGTGGAAACTGCGGGAAGGAGCCGGGCTCCTGCCTCACTGAGTCCGGGCATCCAGCATCCAGTCAACAAACCTTCTTGCCTGTAACACTGGTCCGCTGGTGTCTGGGCTGGCATTCTGAGGACAGCAGGCGCATCTTGCTCTCAAGGAACTGACTGTCAGCAGGAGCACAGACCCAGCGCCAGCTAACCGCCATCAGATAGAACAGTGCAATGACAAGATGTCACCAAGGGAATGGGGAGCGCGAGGCAAACCCATAGATTCTAAATACCCAGTGGGTGGGTTTATAACAAGGTTCTTTTTTTTTTTTTTTTGAGACAGTCTCTCACTATCCTCTCCTGCCTCAGCCTCCAGAGTGGCTAGGCGTATGGGCATGCACCCCCATGGTCTACCAGTCAGTGTGCAGCTGCTAGGGGCAGGAAGTATCCCTAGGGGCCAGCATGGGGACCAGGCTCAGTGGACGCCTGACCTTGGAACTTTGGAGACATTCTCCCTCCTGGAAGCTTTCCTCACCCTGTCACCTCTTCATATCCTCCGTGGGTAGAATAATTTCTTGTGCAGGGTTTCAAGAAGGAGGACCTTGTGAGCTGGTATAAGGTGAACTGTTACTGAGTGTCTATCTTGTGAGCACATTAGTTATTCCATTAAGCCTCGGGATGACCATATAAGATAGGTGGACATGCTGAAGTCTATACAAGTTAGTGACTTGGTCAAACGGTTTGGTTACTGAGAGAGGTGGGATTTGAACCCTGTTTGTATAGCTCTGATAATAGGCAACTCTTGTGACAGGTGATTATGCCTTGTTTGCTTTTATTTCTTTTCTTCTTTCTTTGTCCCCCAGCATCCCAATCATCTTGTTAAATCTGGGACATTTTCTGTTCAGTGAAACATCTTCAAACATCAGAATCAAGCCAGGGCGCAAGTGGCTCCTGCCTGTAATTCTATCTACTTGGGAGGAGAATTGTAGCTTGAGGCCAGCCTGGGCAAATGGTGAGACCCCAGCTCCAAAACAGCCAGAGCAAAATGCACTGGAGGCATGGCTCAAGCAGGAAGCCCTGAGTTCAGACCCCAGTTCCACACACACACCACCACCACCACCAAAATCACTCCCAGAGAGGCCAGATGCTCCCGATATAAAAACACCAGAGGACTCACACCAGGGCTCCCATCTCACTCTTTCAGGGGAGTCCAGCTTAGCTCTATATAAAATGTTACCCTTTCTCCCTCTTTGACCAGCAGAGGAAGTGGAATTCCTGTGAGTTCAGTGTGTGCTGCATTGAGCGGAACTGTAGGTTATGATGCGTGGGGTGAGCACTAAGGTTGTGGGACCAACAGTGGCTGGGTCAGGAGAAGCTGCCTAGAGAAGAGCATGTTCATGCTGGGCCCAAAAGCTGAGTAAAGTCAGCCCAGTGAGGATGGAGGAAAGGACAATCCAAGTAGAAAATGGCTGCACAGGGGCACGACTGTGAAGGAGCAGGAGCCATGAAGGTTTGGATACAGTGATGCTCCATATGATCCTGACGAACTGGGAAAACCCCAACAAAAGTGACAGGACTGTAAAGAAAGCATAGGACAATTTGGAGCAGTCTGCACTGGTCAGAGAAGTAGCAGGGGTGAGATTCTACCCAACGGCTTTTCTCCCTAATGCCACACATAAGTATTCATGAGCTGCAGGTGCAGCTCAATTGGCAGAGCACCTGCCTAGCAAATGTAAGGCTCTGAGTTCAAACCCCAGTACCACAAAAAAAAAGGGGGATTTATGAATTATGTAACTTCAGGACACAAGAACATAAAATAGCTGTGCACTGGTGGCTCACACCTGTAATCCTAGCTACTCAGGAGGCAGAGATCAGAAGGATGAAGATTCAAAGCCTGCTTGGGCAAATAGTTTCATCTTTTTGTTTTGTTAGTGGATGTAAACAGTACAAAAGTAGAAAATGCAAAGGGATATACAATTCACCTTTTAGCCATTTCTGTTTTTCAAAAACACCACAAAAGGGGAAAGCATAAGCCTGAAACTGGGAGAAGCTGTAAACAATAAGGATTCAAATCCAAACTATCTGAAGAATGTCTACTTCTTTTTCTTTCTTTTTTTTTTTTTTTTTTGAGGCAGAGTCTCACTCAGTAGCCCATGCTGCCCTCAAACCTCAAACTGATCCTCATATCTATCTTAGCCTCTGTAGTGCAGAAATCACAGGCATGCTGGGCGCCAGTGGTTCACGCCTATAATCCTAGCTGCTCAGGAGGCAGAGATCAGGAGGATCAAGATTCAAAGCCAACCTGGGCAAACAGTTCGAGAAACTATCTTGAAAATACCCTTCACAGAAAAGAGCTGATGGAGTGGCTTAAGGTGAAGATCCTGAGTTCAAGCCCCAGTACCACAAAAAAAAAAAAAAAGAAAAGAAAAAGAAAGAAACTACAGGCATGTACAGCCACGCCCAGCAAGGATGTCTACAACGTATAGAAATATGGGCAAAGGATAAGAACCGGCATTTCACATTGGTTGATAAATACTTAAACCCATTTGTTATCACAAGTGCAACCTGTCTCAGGCCATTTGGGCTGCTATGACAAACCACAGACTGAACAGCTTATCATCAACAGGGATGTATTTCTCACAGTTCTGGAAGCTAGGAAGTCCAAAACCAGGCACCAGCAGATTTGGTGTCATGGCGAGAGGAAAGGGACAGGGAAGTCTCTGGGTTCCTTTTATAAGGGCACTAATCCCATTCTAGAGAGCTCCACCTCGTGATCCAATAATTTTTTTCTCTATTCATTCATCTATTGGTGGGCACTTTGGTTGACTGTGCATTTTGTCTACCATGAAGAACGTGTAATAAACATGGAGGCACAGACATTTGACATAATGACTTAAATTCCTCTGGATACATGCCTAGAAGTAACACTGAGCCAGTCATTTTCCAGCCTACTACACTCAAACTGAATGGGGCTAGCTTCCCCAAAGATCACCAACCGGAAGTGACAACATGAACAAGAGAGTGTGGCTAAACCATGCAGGCAGTTTGTATTGACCATTTTTAAGTTTTTAAAGAAAGGCAGGCAAGTCTTCTCTTGCTGGTAATGGATTTAATGAGTCTCAGAGCTGGAGTTGGTACAATAGGGCATAGCCCACAGTGTCACCACCCCCGCCCCTCCTCATTACTGTTCCACTTAGGGAGCTGGTAGAGAGAGGGTCAGGAGACAGAGTTCTACCCACCTGAGCACTTCACTGCCACAGTGGCCTTGTCTAAGCCCCTTCCTGCCTAACCTGACTTTTAGCATCCCCACCTGCCCAGCACTAACCAGCTGGCACCACTGCACCCGGATGATATTTGCTGCCACAATGATTTCAGGTCAAGGAAAAGGACAGTTGAAAGAGCATGGTGGCATATGCCTGTAATCCTACCACTCAGGAGACAGTGGCAGGGAAAATCACAAGTCTGAAGCCAGCCTGGGCTATGTAGTAAGTTCCAGGACAACTTGGACTATACATACAGCCTGTCTCAAAAGCGTGAGGGAGGGAAAAAGGAAGAAAGGAAGAAGAAGAAAGAAAGAGCCAAACCCTCAGGGTGTAACCTTTCAACTGATAAGTCCCTGATCTCACATGGACGACTCATGAACTGGGCAGGCAAGGCAGCATGGAGCTAGGGAAGTTGTTAGAACAAGATCCTGTTCTGGAGGCTCCAATGCCTCCTCTCCCATGGTGCGACCTCAGACATGAGCTGTCCAGGGCTGGCCCTCTGACTCAACCCTGACTCCCACCTACACGCCTTCCCTGTGGGGTGCTTGGACTCAAAGCCTCCTTTCACAAAGAGAGCAGTAGAATGGATGACTTGGAGTGTGTAATGAGTCCAAGTACAGATGAATAATTGATGTGCTTGAATATTAATTAGCAGGAACTGACTTTTGTAGCCAGGCTACCCCAAAAGAGATTATCTTAGAGTAAACAAACAATCATAAAACATACTAACAACAAGAAAATCCTCAAACTTCTAAATCTTCCTAACAGAAGCCTATTTGGAAAAAATTCTGTGTTTGTAACCATAGTACTTTTAAAGTGGTAATTTCAGGGTTGATGGCTTCCCACCCCTCAGGCCAGAACCTGAGCAACGGGTACCCTTGTCTCTTTCCCTCTCTCCCCTTCTCCGATTATGCCTTTCCCCATCATGAAGACCAAACGGCTTCACTAATGAATCTCCCCAAACATTTAAAGGAGGATTAGTACCAATTCTTCATAAACTTTCCAAAATTTAGAAGAGGAGGATGCACTTCTCAACTCAATTCTATGAGGCAAGTATTTCCGAAAGAAAACAAAAAAAACAGTAACTCTTATGAATATAAGTGAAAATAATGAACA